ACTTGCTGAATCAGGCTTCGAAACGATGAATGCGGGGACAGCACGCCACTTGTTTTGCCACTGGAATGCATACTCCGTAGATGGCAGTTTGGGGGCATGGCCTGACACCCAGATTGGGGGTTCAGTCGAACACTGGCGCATAAACAGAGCCGGGTGTGTGGCCCCACGAACCTGAAAAAAAGATTAAACTTTTAAGCTCGAAAAATTGTAGATGGAAAATCAGAGCTGGAAGGTTAAAAACAACCGTTTAAATTAATCAGACTGAAAATGGACTATTTTCCTTCCCGAATAAGACGAACATAAAAAATCAGAAGCTAAGAGGTTCGTTGATTAAACTGTGCAGAAAATTAAATTACCACCAAAATTTCCTGCGAAGAAGCAATCAATTTTGCGATGTAAAATGGGACATGACCCTTTGTGATCCCAGGAACCCGTTGACCAAGGGTGAAGTGGTGCACACCTAAAAGGAAAGGTAAAAATGGTCTACACGAGGAGGACCGTAAAGGGAAAGCTTATAAACACGAGAAGATGCTCTCTTACCGGAGTGTTCACCGAGGACTTCACCCGTCTCGTAATCTCTAAATATTCCGGGCTTGGGCTCAACATACTGTAAACGGATAGGCGTCAATAAGATAATAATGCAAAGGACATTCTCACATTGTCAATGAATTCGCGAAACTTTCGTTTGCCAATGAAACAAATTCCCATGCTCTGAAAGGATAGACATTGGTTAAAGTGCGACTCTTCCAGCATAGAAATGACACCTACACATAATTTGGCGAAAACTGCCAGGTAACATGGGAGTCAAACAAAATGGATTAGTATACTCCGACTTAACATGCCTCACGTCTCGCGACAATCTTCTCCAGACCGATTTCTCTCGCAATTTCCTTAACCACCGGTTTTGTAATATTACCGACCGGAAACATGGCACACTGGAGATATTTAGCGGGAACCTACGGAAACCAATGAAAAGATAGACTTTAAGTTTAAAGGATGTCAAGCATTTGGATCCAGCGCAAATTGAAACCTGTCTAGGTGTTACGGGCACCCGAGGCTTAATTTTTAGCGTCATTAGGCGTGCCCGCAAGCAACTGTAACTGAAAGTTGTACAATGGTCCTGGAGAAGAATAAAAAAGTATCACACTCCAACATCTTCACTAATTTTGATATCAATGAGGATATATCCCACTAATTCTTACCGAATATGACCAGTTCCCAATGTAGTCACGCACAATAACTCGTTAGCTGACATTCCGGGCCGCGTTTAGGCATCAAACCCAACGGGTTCTAAGCAATACTTTTGAGTTAATGCGGATCAGTTTGGACAATAAAACGATAGCGGTCGGCTATGAGGACACGCATCCAATTTTATATATATGACCATGTCCAGCAAAAGAGAATAATGACCCGACGAATTACGGGAAGATATCAAGGTCGCAACTACTTATACCGACATAAAAAACGCCATAAACTTTGCTCCCAGTTGAAGACCATTGGCTAAAGTGTGAGCAGTCAAGAGAAGGGGAAATTAAAATTTCTCACATATCAAGCACAATCTGTGGAGATAGTTTAAGGAAAATCACTCTCCGTATTGGCTAAAAGTGTAGTTTGCAAATGTCCAGCTTTTTATCTCCGCTCTTTTTAGTTTATGTCGACGATGGCAGGACAAACAAAGAGCCATACAGGGATGAAATAAGCGAAAATTCGAGCTTAAAGATAACACGAGTGGCTTGCCCGAAGGCCTTAAACACTTTGACAGTTGAGAAAAGGACGATTCGACCGCTGAGACAACACTTTTATTTGACTGA